AAAGGCAAAACAAGCTGTGGAATAACGTCCTTTACAGTCTCCAACTTACAAGCCGACCTCAATGCACTGTTTAATTGGGCAACTATGTGGCAAGTGAGGTTTAATGTTGATAAATGTAAGGTTATGCACTTGAGGGCTAAGAATATGCATGCCTCATACATACTAGGGGGGGTACAACTGGGGGAATCAATGGTGGAGAAGGATCTGGGGGTTCTGGTAGATCATAAGCTTAATAATGGAATGCAATGCCAAGCTGCAGTTTCTAAAGCAAGCAAAATCCTCTCTTGTATTAAAACAGGTATAGACTCCAGAGAGATAAATATTCTACCCCTGTACAAATCATTGGAAAAACCTCATCTGGAATATGCAGTTCAATTTTGAGCACCAATTCACAAAAAGAACATTGGGGACCTGGAGAAAGTGCAGAGAAGGGAAAACAAACTGATAAGAGGCATGGAGGAGCTCAGCTATGAGGAAAGATTAGAGGAGCTGAATTTATTCTTTCTTGAGAAAAGGAAATTAAGGGGGATATGATCAACATGTATAAATACATCAGTGGTTCATATAGTGAACTCGGTGTAGAGCTATTCACCCTGAGGTCATCACAAAGGACAAGGGGGCACTCTTTACGTCTGGAGGAAAAAAAATTTAATCTCCAAACACAGAAAGGTTTCTTCACATGTGAGCTGTGAAAATGTGGAATAGACTCCCTCAAGAGTTGGTTCTGGCCAGCTCAGTGGATTGCTTTAAAAAAGGCCTGGATTCTTTCTTGGATACACATAATGTAACTGGACACTAACATTTATAGGTAAAGTTGATCCAGGTAATATCCGATTGCCTCTCGGGGGATCAGGAAGGAATTTTTTCCCCTGCAGGAGCAAATTGGATCATGCTTTGCTGGGTTCTTGCCTTCCTCTGGGTCAACTGTGGGTGTAGGATTAGGTTATTGTTTTGTTGAACTGGATGGACTTTTGTCTTTTTTCAGCCAGACTATGTAACATTTGTGTATAGATTAAAAAAAAAAAATTGTAAATTTTTTTTTTTACCCTTTATGTTGTCACATACCCTCTGTTCACAGTTGCATAAAAGCTAAGGGAGCAGAAAACAGGAGCAGACTGATATTCCCAGTGAATGGCTGTGCAGGGGGGAATGACAGGACAATTATGATCATTGGAGGAGAGCAGGCTGAGTTTTAGTACAGCCAGAAAATTCATCACACTGTGCTCTCATGCATAGTGTGGTCAGTTTTTAATAGATAAGCAGATGGACTGGCAGAAACACCAGGGATTTCCCAAAAAGGAAGCAACACATAGAACAGGATATGTTTTCATACAAGTACATGGTACAGCATGCACATATCAGGAATATGAAATGTTTGGTTTACATTTGCTTTAATGATTTTGTTTGTCAGTGTCTTGACCTCCTGTGGGCAGTAGTATAACCTGTTTAAAGTGTATCTACGGTCAAAAATTAAAATCATATTACATTTCCACACCGAATTTCAATTTTTTTTTCTAGCTTCTTCCAATTAAATTGGATTCTTGGATTCTATGACACACATTCACTATACCCTGTGAGAAAGCACTGCTAATTCACACATTTCACAAAGTCTATCTTCTTAACTACAGAGGTGCTGAAAGGAGGAGATTCAGAGACCAATACATGAATCATTGCTTGTAGGCAAGGGACCATGGGACATGTAGTCCTTAGAAACTGAAGATAAATCAAAGGAATGAGCAGAGGAGAAGCTAAAATGCATGCAGAGAATCCAAGAAGTTGGCTAAGAACATGACAAACAGGCAGTTAAAAAGGTGTATTTTGAAAGTGTATACTGTGACTACAGATCTCCTTTAAGAATTTCTGAAGTCCTGTGTCCCTCAATGGACAAAAAAGAATATCCTGTTTCTAGAGCTCAGTAGCTCAAGGTGAAATTCGCAAGCACAAAACACAAGTCGCAGCTGGGAATGACCCCCCTTTCAAACTAAACTCCTCCTGCTCTCCTCATCTTGTATTACTATTTTGAAACATTTACAATTCATTAGAACATCTCTCATTCTATCTAATGGCTGGTAAACGCACTGAGAATATCGGATGAATTAGTTTTTTTGCATGATATCGAAAATGAATAGGTTACTACATAGTTACATAGTTAGTCTGGCTAAAAAAAAAAAATACAAAAGTCCATCCAGTTCAACCATTAAAAAAAAAAAAAAAAAAAAAGTTATAATTCTAATTCTATACCCACAGTTGATCCAGAAGGCGGCAAAAAAAAAAAAAACCCCCAGCAAAGCATGATCCAATTTGCTCCTGCAGGGAAAAAAAATCCTTCCTGATCCCTCGAGAGGCAATCGGATATTCCCTGGATCAACTTTACCTGTAAATGTTAGTATTCAGTTATATTCTGTGTATCCAAGAAAGAATCCAGGCCTTTTTTTTTTTTTTTTAAAGCAATCCACTGAGCTGGCCAGAACCAACTCTTGAGTGAGTCTATTCCACATTTTTACAGCTCTCACTGTGAAGAAACCTTTCCATGTTTGGAGATTACATTTCTTTTCCTCCAGACGTAAAGAGTGCCCCCTTGTCCTCTGTGGTCACCTCAGGTGCAATGCTTTACAGGCACCTGCAGACAAAAATAATAAATGCACATTTTATACCTGCAAAACAATGTGCATTTAATATTTTTTACTAAAAGGTGAACTTATCCTATATTGGATACTGTTGTGAAGAATGCGTGAGAGGCTTATACACTTTGTCTGGATTTGGCCAGTCCTTGAACAGAAGCTCCTGTATGGGAACAGATCACATACTGGTGACCTCAGATCCAAGGTGGACACAGCTTTAGCTTCAAACAGGAGGGTACCTTGTCTACCAGGTTTCACAGCGAACTGATACAGTAGCTGTTCACAGACTCACATCAGGTTCAGGACAGGATTAGCTCAGGATCTTATCCTGTTCACACATATGCAGTTTAGGAACAGTTCCCATAGAAGTCAATAGCTTGTAATCTGCACCTAAACCTGAAGCCACTGCTCAGAAATCGGACATGACTGTTTTTAAAACTACACTGAATCCAAACCGGACATATGTGAACAGGCACCATAGGAAACAATGGTATTTCACATGTCGAAGATTGGATGTGGTTCAAACCGCATCCAATAAGCATATATGTGAATGGGCACTAAAGGTTTCTTTCAGCTGCAGCACAAAAACATGTTACGTCTGCATACAGGTGTAACATGTTAGGAAAAGTAAACTTATCCTTTATTCAGTGCACGCAGAATTGCTCCAGAGCCTCCTAAAGAAGCTGGGACAATGAGGAATAGGCTGATTGCACACCAAAATATGCCCAAGTGGTTGTGTCAAAATCTCATGTGGATAGTGGTGCATGCTATGTTAATAGCTGCAAAAAAAAACTGTATAAAAGTGGCATACGTTATACTATGGATACAACTATTTAAAACTGTCACAGCCTTCCACCACTGTTCCCACCCAAGGCACTTCCCGCCATCCAGGGACTACCCCAAGGTGGGAGTACTGGGAAGAGAGAGAGGGGGGTTCAGGGGTATCCCACAGGGGAAGAGGGCAAAGATGACAGATTGTCCAGTGTCCTCATCTGAAGGAGCAGTATGTGACCTATTGTTAAAACTTGAAAGGAGCCTGTGTCCTGCCTAAGAAACAGGGTTTAAAATGTTGCCCACCCCACATCTTCCTTATATGTTGCATACTGTTGGTTACAATCTCAGTTTAGAATACTTTTTACTTTTCTTTTGTGTAATCACACAGTTCTGGCTCCCCTGCATCAGGGAGCCATTGGTGAAAAAGAAAGCCGACAACTGACAAAGCATTGAAAGACCGCTGCGCCCCCCCCCCCCCCAAAAATAAAAAAATAAAACAGAACACTGTGTGTGTGTCCCAACGGGGTGAAGCATGCATATAAAGCAGGGGGACGTAACAATTTTAAACCCTACTTTAACCTTTCCTACTACTTAAAAAATTTAAAGTGATCATGCACCACTGTCAAGCTTTTTTTTTTTTGTGCTAGGCAAAACATTACCACTGCAAACCCCACTTATCCTCTACACAAAGTTACATCTTATTGCTACTGCTTGTACAGTATATTCAAAAAGACTGGTGGTCAGATAAAGTCCCCCTAGAGCAGTGTTTCTCAATTCCAGTCCTCATGGACCCCCAACAGGTCATGTTTTCAGGATTTCCATTATTTTGCACAGGTGATTTGATCAGTTTCACTGCCTTAGTAATTACCACAGCTGTTTCATCTGAGGGAAATCCTGAAAACATGACCTGTTGGGGGTCCATGAGGACTGGAGTTGAGAAACACTGCCCTAGAGTCAGAAACCTGTGAAATAAGCATCCTATTATTGATTTAAAAAAAGGTGCTTAGGAACCCAATCATGCTGCTAAACAGAATACACACAATAGCTTTCTTCATTTAACTATTTTTACTATTTGGATAGTACAGAAAGAGTGTGCACGTTTATGGACTATACTGTCACGGGTACATTTTAGATGATCTTTTAAAGTGAACCAGTGGCCAGGCCTTTGGCATTAAAGTATACACATTTCTGTTAAAAAAAAACACAACAAAAGAAACAAAAAAAAAAAAAAAAAAAAAAAACACGTTACATTTGCTTTAAAACAAGCTTTTACTGTTTTACTGACCTGTAGCTGCAGGCACACGGAAGCAAATCACCCTCAAAGTTCACAACAGAAGCACTGAATTAGTTTCACTGCAACTCAGCTCACCATGCTCCTCCATTCCAACAGTGATGCAGCAGCTTTAAGCAGAGAGCAGGTGCTCTTGGAGAGGGGGAGCAAGGTAAGCTGAGCTGCTGAGACTTCAGTACTTCTGATATGAATACTGAGGATAAATTCCTAAATATTTTGTTACTAAACATTTAACACATACATGTTACCTACCCACTTTGAAAAAGATTCTGGATTTTGTTAAAGGGAAAAAAAAAAGCATGTAAAATACAAACCTTGGTCCTGAGTTACTTCTGGTCTAGTCCATCCCTGCTGGGATCCAGTGGAGCTTTTTTTCTCTTTTTGAATAATAATTCTGAACATCAGCAGGTAGGGTTTTTCTAACAGCCCAACTTGATGCAGAAGTCCACCCTGATCGATCAACAGGTGGCTCAAATATTTCCTCATATTTCGGTTTATAGTTTTTGTGTTCTTGCACCCTAGTAGACTCTTGCCCTAAAGCATTTGAATTTCCTGAGTAGGGCTGTCTATTGTTCCAAGAGTTCTCATTTTGGTCTCCATAATTAAAACCGCCTCTGAAACCGCCTCTGCCACGGCCACCATGGCCCCTGGGTGAATTCCAGTCCATGTTCACATTTCTGTTCCACGAATCACCTGAATTATACTGGTTATCGTCCCAATGACAGCCTCTAGGAGAACTTCTTCCTCTGCTCCCTCCTCTACCTCGACTATCCCCCCTACCTCGGTGGTCTCCCCTTCCTCTAAAATCACCTCTTCCTCTGTAATCTCCTCTTCCCCTAATTTCTCCCCTTCCTCTGCCCCTATTGTCTCCCCACCCTCTCCTATCGCCTCTCATCCAGCCATCTCCCCTGCCTCTGCTGTCAAAAGATTTAATCTTTTCTGACATCCAATCTGGGTGGTCAATTTTAATTTCTGTATATTGCTCAGATGAATCTCTTGAGTCATATTTATCACTTCTAAAATGTTCATTTGGTTTTTCATGCTCATTCCTTCTGTATCTATCATTTCCCCTAGGACTTTTCCAATTGTCATTTAATCGTCTTTCTCTCCAAGAAGGAGAGTCCTTTTCACTTCTCTCAGCTGTATTACTTCTATTTCGATTTCTAGTTCGCGACCCTGACCTTGAGCGAGACCGACTTTTAGATCTAGACTGCCTCCTATGGCGTCTGTCTCGACTTCTGCCTTTCCACTGCTCGCTATGATTCCGTTCTCTATCCTTACTACGTGATCTAGACTTGCGTTTAACAGGAGAGTCTCTATTTTTAGAACGTGATCGAGAACGTGATTTTTGCCTCTCTTTAACTTCACTCTTAGTAGGAGACCATGTTGTTGATGGAGAGTGGAACCTAGATTTTCGTGGACGCACTTCTTTTTTCTGTGTGTCTTCACCCAGTGGCACTGACCGTTTTTCAGTGGATTCAAGTTCTTCTGTTTTTGTTGCAACAGAAGAACCAGGTTCAGCTACAATTGCTTCAGTCAATTTTGTGGGTTGTTCAGATTCACGATCACTACAGACTGAATCGCATTCCATAGCTACAGATTCAGTATTGTCTTCACCATAAGCTACCTGTTCTTTACCGCTAAAATCTGATTTCCTTCCATTATCAGCATCATCAGACATTTTGCCACCAGCCACAGCACTAGAATCATCAGGACTGCTTTCAGCTTTGTCACCAACTAAAGGTACATTTTGTAAGTCATCGTTGCATAATCTATCTTGAACTTCACTGACATTACACAACTCCTCAGCTGTAGACTGTTCAGCTAGCGGTGTTCGATTTGCAGAAATGTCAGTGTTGCTCCCGTGCTCTGAAAAATCACCAGGTACACTTGTTTCAGGGTCTGTCAGCTTGGGTTCCTGCAAGCTATTTTCCACTCCATTAACTTTATCACCTAAACCATCATCACTTACAAAAGAACTATCCTGCAGAGGAGATTCCACATTTAGCACTTTAGGAAGGTCTGAAGTTTCAGATGGGTCCTCTTTAAAAGAATGAGAGGAACTAAGTGACTGCTCCAAGTCAAACTGCTTTTCAGGATCAGCTGCTAGCAAACTTGTAGATTCTTCATTCTTAGAGGATTCTTTCTGATTTTCTAAATCTGGCAAATGTTCAGTTTTTGACTGGGAGAATTTGCTTGCCTGGTTTTCATTCAAGCTTTCAGATGACTGCACACCTTTGTGATCAATGTCCGAGTAGTCTTCCTCCATACAATCGGGAATATCTTCTGATGGTGTTGAAGGAAAAGTGTTTCTTTCATCACCCACCAACTCATTTTCAGACTCCGAAGATTCGGGTTCCTTGTGAAAGCAGACATTATCAGTATACTTAACAGAAGGTTGAGATCCCTGACATTCTCCTTCATTTACTTGCAGATTCTCTGCCTGCAAAGAATGCCTCACTTCAGTGCTTAGGTGCTGTGTAGATTCTACTACATCTGGGTCTAATTCACTTCCAAACACGGACTCTGGCTGACTTTCTCCTAATGCAGTCTGACCATTTGTAAATACTGGAGAAGGTGGTGAATTCTCTTTATCAAGTGGATGTTCATTATGCTGTTCTGGAGAAGCACATGTCTCTTTATCAAAGCTTTTTACGTTTTGCATAGGTGATGAATCAGGTGTGTGTTTTTCTGCAGACTGGTCCATAGGGGACAAAACAGAGGAATGATCTTCTACTGGCTGGTATACCTTTTCAGAACTGCTTGCAGGAGACCTAGTTACTTCAAACTGTGTTGTGTCAGACAAATCTGGCATCTTCAACTTTTTTTCATCTTGTTCCGATTCACTTTCAGAATCACCTTTACTTTCACCAGCTTCTTGCTGAGTTTGTGTTGCTGACCTGAGTCGCTTTCTTGTTTGAGGAGCTTTTTTGGGTGCTCTCTTTCTTTGTTTTGCAGGTGGTTTATTTGAATGATCAGTTGACAGTGTGTTTGTGGAAGAGCTATTACAGCCAGGTGCATCGTTATCAGAGTTGCTGGATTTTGGTGAGCTTTGAAGTTGGCTGACATCAGGTTTGCTGTTTCTTGCTGAGCGTCTTCTAGTACTGGACTGCACACTTTTTTTTTTCTTGCTCCTTTATTACTAGAAGCGGCTTGTTTTTTCTCTGTTCCTTCTTGAGCACAAGAGTGAACACATGTTCTCTTGGAAAAACCTGTTTTTTTTTTTTTTTTTAAAAACAAAAAAGAAAAAAAATGTCAACTGCTATAAAAAGAATACAAAATGTTACTTTTTTCCTATTTTATCAACACATTAATTCAAACCAACTATACAATTCACACTGCTTTCACACTGATACACCTTTGGTGCATTCTTCAGTTAAAAAAAAAAAAAAAAGCCGAAGAAAGTGGAATCCCTTTAAATTCTATGTATCTTTTCACACTGGTCCGTTGTGCTTAAGTTGTGGTTTAAAAAAAAATCCTGCACCAAAAATGCATCTCTCCATTGAAATGAATGAAAACCACATGAAAAATGAAACGCACCTGTGGGAAGTTCTCAAGCCCCAGTTTACAGAATCACATGACAAGGGAAACAATATATTCAATGGTGCCGTTCTAATCAACTCAGCACAGTGCAACTTTGGACAAGGTTCCTGGTAGACTTCAGTGTGATTTCAGTCCACAGACTTCTGTTATCACATCAGCATAGATAACTGATAGGCTTAAACCCTCACCTCTACTCCCTAGCCATCCCTTATCCATGGATTTTTATACAGCTGCAATTTTAGAGCCTTCCATCGCTCAAAAGAAAAGAAGGATGGATCGCTCGATCAAAGGAAGGAAGGAAGGATCGCTCAATCAAAGGAAGGACGGGTCGCTCGATCAAAGGAAGGAAGGAAGGACGGGTCGCTCGATCAAAGGAAGGAAGGAAGGACGAGTCGCTCGGTCAAAGGAAGGAAGGAAGGACGAGTCGCTCGGTCAAAGGAAGGAAGGATGGATCGCTCGATCAAAGGAAGGATGGATCGCTCGATCAAAAGGAAGGAAGGAAGGTTGGATCGTTCGATCAAAGGAAGGAAGGAAGGAAGGATGGCTCGATCAATCAAAGGAAGGAAGGATGGCTCAATCAAAAGAAGGACGGAAGAAAAGAAGGCTCGATCAAAAGAAGGAAGGAAGGAAGGATGGCTCAGAGGAAGGAAGGAGGGCTTGATCAAAAGAAGGACGGAAGAAAAGAAGGCTCGATCAAAAGAAGGAAGGAAGGATGGCTCGATCAAAAGAAGGAAGGAAGGAAGGATGGCTCAAAGGAAGGAAGGAGGGCTTGATCAAAAGAAGGAAGGAAGGAAGGCTCGATCGATCAAAGGAAAGAAGGATGGCTCGATCGATCAAAGGAAGGAAGGATGGCTCCATCGATCAAAGGACGGAAGGATGGCTCGATCGATCAAAGGACGGAAGGATGGCTCGATCGATCAAAGGACGGAAGGATGGCTCGATCAAAAGGACGGAAGGATGGCTCGATCAAAAGGACGGAAGGATGGCTCGATCAAAAGGACGGAAGGATGGCTCGATCAAAAGGACGGAAGAAAGGATGGCTCGATCAAAAGGACGGAAGGATGGCTCGATCAAAAGGACGGAAGAAAGGATGGCTCGATCAAAAGGACGGAAGAAAGGATGGCTCGATCAAAAGGACGGAAGAAAGGATGGCTCGATCAAAAGGACGGAAGAAAGGATGGCTCGATCAAAAGGACGGAAGAAAGGATGGCTCGATCAAAAGGACGGAAGAAAGGATGGCTCGATCAAAAGGACGGAAGAAAGGATGGCTCGATCAAAAGGACGGAAGAAAGGATGGCTCGATCAAAAGGACGGAAGAAAGGATGGCTCGATCAAAAGGACGGAAGAAAGGATGGCTCGATCAAAAGGACGGAAGGAAGAAGAAAGGATGGCTCGATCAAAAGGACGGAAGAAAGGATGGCTCGATCAAAAGGACGGAAGAAAGGATGGCTCGATCAAAAGGACGGAAGAAAGGATGGCTCGATCAAAAGGACGGAAGAAAGGATGGCTCGATCAAAAGAACGGAAGAAAGGATGGCTCGATCAAAAGAACAGAAGAAAGGATGGCTCGATCAAAAGAAGGAAGGAAGGATGGCTCGATCAAAAGAAGGAAGGAAGGAAGGATGGCTCGATCAAAGGAAGGAAGGATGGATGGCTCGATCAAAGGAAGGAAGGATATATGGCTCGATCAAAGGAAGGAAGGATATATGGCTCGATCAAAGGAAGGAAGGATATATGGCTCAATCAAAGGAAGGAAGGATATATGGCTCGATCAAAGGAAGGAAGGATATATGGCTCAATCAAAGGAAGGAAGGATATATGGCTCAATCAAAGGAAGGAAGGATGGCTCAATCAAAGGAAGGAAGGATATATGGCTCAATCAAAGGAAGGAAGGATGGCTCAATCAAAGGAAGGAAGGATGGCTCAATCAAAGGAAGGAAGGATGGCTCAATCAAAGGAAGGAAGGATGGCTCAATCAAAGGAAGGAAGGATGGCTCAATCAAAGGAAGGAAGGACGGATAACTCAATCAAAGGAAGGACGGACGGATAACTCAATCAAAGGAAGGAAGGATATATGGCTCGATCAAAGGAAGGAAGGAAGGATGGATCTCTCGATCAAAGGAAGGAAGGAAGGATGGATCTCTCGATCAAAGGAAAGGAAGGATGGATCTCTCGATCAAAGGAAGGAAGGACGGATCTCTCGATCAAAGGAAGGAAGGACGGATCTCTCGATCAAAGGAAGGAAGGACGGATCTCTCGATCAAAGGAAGGAAGGACGGATCTCTCGATCAAAGGAAGGAAGGACGGATCTCTCGATCAAAGGAAGGAAGGACGGATCTCTCGATCAAAGGAAGGAAGGACGGATCTCTCGATCAAAGGAAGGAAGGACGGATCTCGATCAAAGGAAGGAAGGACGGATCTCTCGATCAAAGGAAGGAAGGACGGATCTCTCGATCAAAGGAAGGAAGGACGGATCTCTCGATCAAAGGAAGGAAGGACGGATCTCTCGATCAAAGGAAGGAAGGACGGATCTCTCGATCAAAGGAAGGAAGGACGGATCTCTCGATCAAAGGAAGGAAGGACGGATCTCTCGATCAAAGGAAGGAAGGACGGATCTCTCGATCAAAGGAAGGAAGGACGGATCTCTCGATCAAAGGAAGGAAGGACGGATCTCTCGATCAAAAGGAAGGAAGGGAAGGACGGATCTCTCGATCAAAGGAAGGAAGGACGGATCTCTCGATCAAAGGAAGGAAGGACGGATCTCTCGATCAAAGGAAGGAAGGACGGATCTCTCGATCAAAGGAAGGAAGGACGGATCTCTCGATCAAAGGAAGGAAGGACGGATCTCTCGATCAAAGGAAGGAAGGACGGATCTCTCGATCAAAGGAAGGAAGGACGGATCTCTCGATCAAAGGAAGGATCGATAAAAAAAAAATAAAAGGGTCAATTGATAAAAGGAAAGAAGGAAAGATCCATTGATAAAAGGAAGAAAAGAGTGGTCGCTAAAAGGAAGAATCAAAACAGGATCAGTGTAAATCTAGGTTTTAGGCAGCAAGGATGTGGAAGGAGAGGTGAAGGTTTTAACCACTTCCCGACCGGCCGTTGTATATAAACGCCCGGACGGTGGCACTGCAGGGTCGGGTGGCCGTCTATAAACGGCCTCCCCGCCTCCTGCTTGTGCGCGCTCCCTGGGAGCGCGGAGCACCGCGATCCGGTGCCCGCTGTGTCCTCCGGACACAGTGAAACACCGATCGTCGGACGGGACCTCTGTACGAGGTCCTGATCATGTGATCACTGTTTGGCCAATCAGTGATCACATGCAAAGTAGTAAGCAAGATGTCACTTGTTACATCATTGCTTACTATGTGTGAAATCTGTGAATGATCACAGAGGTCACATGGTACAAGGCTATTCACAAAAGCCTTGTACCATGTGACAAGCTGTGACCAGTCACAGCTCACTCAGTTTCTTCTCAATGCACACAGAGAGAAAGAGAAATGATTGCTTTTACATCCTATATGGGTGTAAAAGCAATCAGTGTAAAAAAAAAAAAAAAAAAATCTTCATCACCCCTCACAAGTAGTACAGTGTCACCATGGTGACACTGTACTGCTAGGGTGACAGTATGTAAAAATAAATAAATAAATAAAAAATAATAATATAAAAAAATAAAATAAAAATGTAAAAAAAAAATGTTTAAAAATTATAATTTTTGCTTATAAACTAATTTGGATTTTTTTTTTTTTTACTAAAAAGATAACGGAATAAATTTTGGCTAAGATTTATGATGAAATATTATTTATTTGCAAAATTTTATTAAAAAAACACTTTTTTTTTTTCAAAATTTTTGGACATTTCATTTACATAGCAAAAAAAATACAAATCCCAGTGGTGAATAAATACCACCAAAATAAAGCTTTATCTATCTCAAAAAAATGGTAAAAAATTCATTTGGGTACAGTGTTGCATGACCGCGCAATTGTCATTCAAAGTGTGATAGCGCTAAAAGCTGAAAATTGCCCTGGTCAGGAAGGGGGTAAAAGTGTCCGGTCTGGAAGTGGTTAAACAAACACACACACACACACACAGGTTGTATAGGAATGTTTCTTATCCATGCTGATGTGATTTCTGTTAGATAACATAGTAGACTTCTATGGGGCTGAAATAACACTGAAATCACAATATAATGTGATCTCCCTTGGCATGCAGTTCTGTGAACCCAGGCTTGAAAACTTCTAAAGTGGCATCAATAGTTGCACTGGAAAAACGCATGAAAATCACATCAGAATGGTGGGAAGTGATATGTGAAACCGCAAAGTGTGTTAAAAATGCAAAATGTGTTGTGTTAAATTTAATGGAATGTGGGAAAAATGTGGCACAAACACCTGTTTTTATGCATATTTCATACAGAATAGTGTGAAAGTAGCTATTCCCATACAAATCTATGAGAAAGCAAAACCTGCCTGAAGTCAGTTAACTGCAGATCAAAAAGGGGTCAACTGAAGGTCAAATGAACCTGTCAAATTCTGAATGACCTCAAAGCATCTAAAACGGACACAAGCCCAAGTCTGTCAACACAGGTTCTAATACAATAATATCCACAGACAGCAAATATATAACATAAAATGGTGTCGGTTTTCGAAATGATTGTAAAACCATAATGACAAGGGAGGCCACATATTTTCAGAATAGTAGACTCCAATTACAGTTATATGTAATCTGCTTGTTCCAGCAAAGCTTTAACCACTTGACTCCGAAAGGTTTTACCCCCTTCATGACTGGTCAGTATTTTACGTGTAAATATGTGCGTGCGCCTGCAAAAATGTTAATATGAAGAAGCTAGATTTTATATTACTTGAACCTGTAAATTACCACAGCATTGTTTCAGAAGGTGTCCTGCATAGCCTCCAAAGCTGAAGAGGAGCAGAACAAGACCTAGTGAACATGCCCCTTCCAGATAGTCTTTGCCTCCTCTGGTAGGACAGGGTTCTACCAGCAGGCGTACAGCGGTCCTGGACCTGTAAAGCACTTTGCGGCTGACTCACAAAAGTACCCTGGGCGACTGAAAAGCTCCCCATACAGATCCCAGTGCTCTAGGGTCACATTTCCGGCTGGACTCACTGGAATACCGGTACTTTGAAAAAAAAAAATGTATCTTGAGGAAAACCAGAAAAAGTTTTTGGAAAGGATTTGCTTCTATTACAGAAAGAAGATGCTCATTCTCCTCAGACTCTAGCATAAGACTGGAGCATGATGAGAGTGGAAAAGGTATTATCTGGCAGACCAACAGCGAGATTTACTTGTGTCCAATCTCCTGTAGGCAGCAGTATAATCTCTCGTCTAAGAATTAATCCTGTGCCCCATAACAAATGATAAAGAAAGCCTGGTTATGATTTTAACCATTTCCTACTCTATCCAACGCTAAAAGAAAAATGTTACCTTTACATATACTATAATAATCACATGACATCTCACCTGCAGTTTTCCAGAGGCTTTGCAGGCAACTGCAAGAAAGAAGGCTCCATGGTCTGATTATACCAAAATTTAGAAAAGTTGCTGGATTTGAAAAAAGGATGTTGATTCACAAAGCCCATGCAATCAGAAGGAGCAGGAGCAGTTTTGCAATAAGGAATAAAGAAAATGTAAGCATATGTAGTCAGTTATACTGTGACCCATCCCAATCCTAAATTGTAATTTAAATCCACTTGCAGAACACAATTTAGCACAGTCTACGATCTCAAATTCAACAAGTTAATCACAACATTCAATACAAAATTCTCAGCTACAATATTTTTTCATAGAACAGTTACCTTTGCTCCTGACAGATAAAGGTCTTATGGTAAATATATAGTCACCCAAAAACGATGGTGAGTGGATAAGCGTTTCAACAGAAAATGAGGAATTGCTATGAAAAAACAGAAAAAAAAAAAAAAAAAAAAACACAGGTTAATCCAAAATACACATTGTACAGTGTATTCACATATGTATGAAAAGTGTGCTAACAAGGACTTTTTTTTGTTGCCTACAGCTGTCAGTCAGAATCCTTAGTTTTTGAATCTTGGGCTGTAATCATGCACAATTTGAAACCGATTGGCTGCTTTGGGCATCAAGAAAATACGGTTAGCACATTTTTCATACAGAAGCTTTATAGATTCATTAATCAAATATAAATGTCAGTAATTAAAACATCTGAGCATGATTCAGTCCATTGAATCTAACAGAGGTACACACAGTACGGTCACAAAGGATTGAAAGTTCACTTTGGACAGGATGCAGCTCTTTCAATACCACTGGAACACCAGACATTGCAGTGAACACAAACCACCCTAGTGCAATTAATCCTTTAATTGGCGTGCACTGACAAAATCATATGCTTAAAGGCTCATCAAACCACATCTCAGTCTTCAACATCCACCTGCTTGGAGATCCCTCTTTGGATGTGACGATCCATCTGCACAGAGCTGGGCTGGTGAAGCAAGCCCGACAGGGAGAGCAGCAGCAGCTGCTGCTAAATCACACAGACAACTGCCGAATGGATCAGGCATTAACAGCTTCAACACAAGCCCACACCGCTCACTGGGGATGCAGGAAGAGACAGTGACAGAGGAGATGGAAAGAGTGTCATATGTTGTTGGCCCTAGATCTTTAGTATTCTTGGATCTGGTTTTATCCTGGGATGAAGGCAATATTGTAAAACTCACTAAAGAGATAGCCGACAACTCATAGTCATCACAAGAGTTGCCATTATCCTAGTTGGAAGCACAACATAGCCTATTATATGGACTAAAAGGTAAGAATGAATTGTACTAACATGACTATCAAGAAAAAGGCCAGTTATTGACTAAGAAGTTCCTGGTAAATGGGTATCAGAAAGACCACATTTTGGAAGCTATGAATAAATATGAATGTATTTCATGGAGACATAAGGAGAAGTAGCCTGTTGCAGAAGGGTTTTCTGGCAAATATGTTACCCATTCTAATAATCAACAATGGACAATCAAATACATTATAGAGAAGCATTGGCATATACTGCTGCAAGATTCTGCACTAAATAACACATTACCAAAAACCTAACAGTATTCAGAAGAGCCACCAATGTGACGAGTTTAATTGTGCCTAGTAAACAAAGAAAAGCGACCTAGAATCAGAGATATATTTTCTTTGTGGCTTTTTGGTACATCTACCATGGGCAAAAAAAAAAAAAAGTTTTTCAGGCAAAAACGGTAAGACTTACGACATGAATCAATCACCTGTAGCACCCAATGCATTGTATATGGTCTAAAATGCCCATGTGGGCTGTACCACACATATGATGCATACTAGATTTAAAAAGCGTTGTTTCATCGAACACAGTGGCATTAAACACAGTGTGCCCTGCCGTTTTTCCACGTATCATAATAAAGATACATTGTACCTACAATTTTTGGTATAGAAGCTATACCTATGCAATTGCCAGAGACCAAAAGGTTGTAAAAACTCCATCAAAAAGAAACAAACATTCTGGATATTTATATTAGATTCCACGGTGCCTGGTGGCCTAAACGAAGAATTAGAAAGGAGTACGATCATCTGAAGACTATACACTACTCCATATATGGTTGTTTTAATTTTATCTAATTTAAATTCCCTTTTAGACCCCTGTTCTCTGTTGGTATTTACAGGGAGGAAGAGTATGTAACATTGGTGTTGTCTCCCTCTTGTCCCTCCCTTATATTAGTATTTGTTGATAGTTTGGGGAAGTCACAAACAGGTTGTACAGTCACAGATGGGGCATTGTCCTGCGTGAGTGCATTTTCTGCTGGAGTGCGAAACAACAGTTGAACACAGCAGGATAACTAAAGCAGCAAGAAACAACCAATAACTCTACTGCACTTTGGATGGACTGCAAGCAAAACACCCTGGGAAACATCTCCTACAAGTCTGATTCCAACTCCATCTACCTTTTAATATGCCCCCCCCTACTCCTTTACATATTAGCATCCGTTGTTCTCAAAATCTCATTTCTTTACCCCTCTGCTCCACCCCAAAGCTTATACATATCACTGACACTTCTACTATCTCCCTACAACTGCTCTCATCACCTCCTGCCCCAAACATCAGGGCAGGAAGGTATGTGCACTCATATACATCCCGCACCCATCTAACTTTCCTCACTCTCCTTCTTCTAACCTCTGGGGATATCTCCCCGAACCCTGGTCCTCCAGTATCTCACCCCCACACCAGGCACTCTCCTTCCTCCAAGAATAGCCGCAATCCACTCAATATAATCTTAATCCTAAAAACCACACTCTCTTTTTCATGTGCACTCTGGAATGCCCACTCTGTCTAATCAGCTCACCTCTTTCTGTGACCTTTATCTCCCACTCCCTTAACCTACTAGCAATTACAGAAACCTGGCTTCAAGCATCAGATTCTGCTTCTCCTACAGAAAGTTCCCATGGAAGCCTCCACTGGACTCACTCACACAAACCTAGTGGCCGGAAAGGAGGTGGAGTTGATTTGCTTCTATCCCCTCTGAGCACCTTTCAAGTCCTCCCCACCCCTCCCTCTATATCCTCTTCTTTCGAGACTCACTGCATTTGGCTGTTTTCTCTCCCATTTCTCTGAGCATTGCAGTGATCTACCATCCTCCCGGACCAGTGTTGTGCTTTCTTGATGACTTCTCTGCCTGGCTACCCTACTCTGACATACCCACCATCATTCTTGGGGATTTTAACATCCCAATTAATGTGAACAACCCAGCTAAATCCCAACTCTTCAACATAACCTCATCTTTTGCCTTAACACAATGGACACAGCCCTCCACTCACTCTGATGGGAATACATTTTACCTTGTTTTCTCCCATCCTTGTACTCCCTACAACCTCATAAACACCCCCTTTCTTCTCTCTGAAGATGACACTGTGAAGGTGATGAGATTGTGATCAAACACCTATCCCACAAAGCAGCAAACAATTACCCGCAGAAACCTTCACAACTTTAACCCTTCTCTTTTTCTACTTCAACTTACCACCTCTATGACAGAATCTCTCCCCTGTCCTGGCCTCTTCTGTCTACAACAGTTCACTTTCATCCACACTAAACTCATGTGCTCCTCTACACAAAGTATCAAGCCCCAATCATTACAACCCTGGCAGACGGACGACACCAGAAATCTTGAGAAATAGTCGTGCACTGGAGTGATTGTGGCGTGAAAATCAAATACCAGCAAGAATTCACCCTATATAAATCTGCTTTCTTAAAATACAATTCCTCTCGCCATGCTGCCAAACAAGCCTACTTTGCCATTCTTAATACCATGTCATCCAGTCATCGTCATCTCTTCTCTACTTTTAATTCTCTACTTTCTCCACCTCCACCCAGTAACCCACTGTTTATGAGATTGACAATCATTTCAAAAACAAGATTAATGCAATTCGTAGGGGCATCTCAACTACTCAGACATCTATTCCACTTGGCATACCTTATACTAAACCTCCCTCCACACTTTCCTCTTTTGACCTTGCTACTACTAAAGATGTCACTAAAGTTTTCTCAGAAGCCCATCTCACCACCTGCCCCCTGGATCCTGTTTCCTCACAACTATTACGGTCACGCTCTTCTTCTATCCTTTGCTCCCTCACATCTTCAATCTCTCCCTCTTTACTGGCACCTTCCCCTCCCCTCTAAAGCATGCAAAGATCACTCACATACTTAAAAAGCCCTCACTGGACCCCACCAACGTGAACAACTTAAGACCCATCTCCCTGCTCCCGTTTACCTCTAAATTCTTGGAACTCTTAAGTCTACACTTGCCTGAGCTCCTACCTCACTGGCAACAACCTTTTTGACCGTTTACAGTCTGGCTTTCACTCACTCCACTGAAACTGACCTACTAAAACTCACTAATTATTTACTAACTGCTAAAACAAATGGCCACTACTACATACTCTTACTACTTGACCTCTCTGCGGCTTTTGATACGGTTGCCCATCCCCTCCTGCTCAAAGAAATGCCACTCTTTTGGCTTCTGAGACTCTGCTCTCTCCTGGTTCTCCTACCTATCACAGCGCTCCTTCAGTGTTACCTATAACTTTCTCTCCTCTGCACTCCCTCTTTCTGTAGGGGGTCCCTCAAGGTTCTGTCTTTGGACCCCTTCTCTTCTCCATCTACACCTCCTCCCTTGGTTACTTGATAAACTCCCATGGGTTTAAGTATCATCTCTATGCTGATGACACACAAATCTATCTTTCTACTCACCTCACCCCTTCAGATACCTCGCGCATTCCTAACCTACTAAAGGGACATATCAGAATGGATGTCGCTCCACTTCCTCAAACTAAATCTTTCTAAAACGGAGCTCATACTATTCCCACCAGCCCATGCCCCCTCCCCTGACTTCTCCATCAAGATCAATATATATGACTGTTTGTAACCACTGAAAAAACTAAACAACTTATTCACTCCCTTGTTATCTCTCACCTTGACTATTGTAACTCCCTCCTCATTCACCTACCTAATCGCAGGCTATACCCTCTTCAGTCTATCATGAATGCTGCTGCCAGACTCATCCCCTTTACCAACTGTCCCATATCTGCCATCTCTCCACTGGCTTCCCATTGCCCAATTAATAAAATTCAAAACATTAACAATGACATATAAAGCCATTTATAACGCTGCCCCAAAATTACATCACCAATCTTGTCGCCAAATATCACCCAAATCGTCCTCTCCGCTCCTCCCATGACCTCCTGCTCTCTACCGGGATTGTCTCTTCTTCCCCTGCTCATCTCCAGGACTTGTCCAGAGCCTCCGCCATCCTCTGGAACTCTCTACCTCAATCTATCAGACTATCACCTACTCTGCCCACTGTTAGATCTCTGAAAACCCCTCTCTTCAGGGAAGCCTACCCTGCCTTCAGCTAAT